CCCCCCCCCCCACCCAGTTAACCCCTTAGACGATGAATAATGACCGTCACCTTAAGTAGCTACGACTGAAAAATATATACTATACGTCATTTCCGGTAAAATAAGTAGGTAGTTTTTGTAATTAAAGATTTTAAAACTTACATTTATTCCATGGTTAATATACCTTATGAATTACTGGGTTCTGCTTTATGTAATCAACAAATTCCACAACTAAGTAAAACTAGGAACAAAAAAAAAGGAGTAGAACCTGTATTTTAAAGGGTGTAGTCCCGTTCATTTCCAAACATTGTTAGAAATATTGGAAATGCGATAAACAGCGTAGGAAGAGATTCAAAGCTTTTGGAGGCCGGAGAATCTGCGTCTGTTCGAGTTGATTTGTTCAGCTCTTTACTTTTAATAGAGGAATAGAAGCTTCAAAATTTGAGTAGTTGTAACGAATGTTCACAATGCGAGCGTTCTTACATCTTCCGTCGAATATTCTCTCATTGATAATGTTTTCTCATTTGCCTAACCTGTTCTCGGTTCGGAAAATTAAGATTGGCTGTGATTTTGGCTTTTCTATTTAACCTTTCTCGCGCGAACAGATATAAATTTTCTATGAAGATGTTTTTTGCTTAATACAGAGTTCGAATCTCACGCCATAGTACACATGCACACAAGTTGAACCTATTGACAATGGTTAGACACATTTAGAGTCCAAAGTACTCTAGGGTTACTATGGTTTTGCTGTACTTCGCTCTGTGATTGGTCCAGAAAACTCGCGCCACTATCTCAACCAATCACGGCATGGTATTTTCCTTTATCCTGATTGGCCGTTGTAATTATTTTGGCTTTAGTCTCACGACACTCGATCCAAAAGCATTATCTTTCTGCGCAATCAGTTTATGATTCATCATCAACAAAAGAACACAACACGCCATTAAAAATTCATAAGCCTTTATTTTCTGGGACATTAAGAAACAATTTGACATATCTATGAATTAAAGTTTATTTCCGATCGCATTGAGCGATAAAGCAAAATTTTATAAAAAAAAATTCGCGCAAACAAAAGTTTGTCAAGCCTTTAATGTAACTGCAGAGTGCCCAGGGAGGTACTGTGGCACCTTTACCAAACTCTCCCACCCCTACCATGCTGCAGAAACACCGCAAGCCCAACGTTCACCTGGAACGTATCATTATCTACCATTGTGAACGCACTCGTTCCACGCCTCTACGGCCACGTTTCCTAATGAAAAGACTGAAAACGAATGCACTTCAAGCTTATTGTCCATTCAATCTGAAATTTTTTTCCAATTGCTCCAAATTTTGGTATATGTATCTACATATCGCACTCGAAAAGGGAAAACATTTTCTCAGATTTATACTTCTATATAATTCTATTCCTGAACAAAATCAGGTCTATTCTTTGAGATAATTGAAGCCATTTGCAGCTATGTTTGAAGATCAATTTGAAAAACAAATTAAATTCCAAGCGCTACTCCGTGTCATAGAAGTCATTTAGTAAAGGCATGTCACACAATGACAGGCCTGTCACGCGTTGATCCGGTCACGACATGACAATTGTCATGAACGTTTTGTTTTGGGCGGCAAAGCCGGGGGAGGAGCGTCTTCGTGATTAGTTAATTCCACATTCCCGGTCATGGGTTCATGCCCTCCGGGTACCCTAGGGGGAATCGGAGGTGGAATTCGACGAGGCCCCCTATTTGGTTCCCTTGGGGGTATTGGAGGGGCATCGTCGTCATCTTGAGCAATGTTCTGACACCTATCTATTGTCACTGACTTAGTTGGTTTTCGAGGGATACTTGGAATAATATCCGACATTTGCCGACGTATAGGCGAAGTCACATGTTCGGAAGGCCTATCGCCATTCACCGACGCCGCACGATGTTTTGTCTGATTCGAAGGTTTTCTCGGAGGTATATCAGGCGGAGGCTCTTGCTCCGGAAAGTTCTCGATGTTAACATAGTCGGGTTCTGTGTCTTCAAGCAACGGAGATTCGGAAATCGTTTCCGAGATGCTGTCAGGGGGCAGGAAGGAAATCGTTGACAAAGGCGTCCTTGGGGTGCTCGGAGATAGCGACGTCGTTGAAGGAAACATGTCGCTGTCTGGTAAGAAAATGTACGAAGCTTGAGAGGCGCTCCTTCTCAAAGACGTCTGAGATGTGATTGACAGACGAGACTGTAGATAACTTGGCCTTGTGCCTGGCGATCTGAGGGAAATGTCCGTCTTGCGAGGCTGAAACGGTAAAAAAACCAAAAAACCTTCAGAAAACGATAACAACACACCAGACTAAAGCTTACTAGGGTCTTTTTGTTCAAAGATTCGCGGAGGAAAAAGAAAGAAATTGACCCTTTGACCTCAAAGAGTGACTTACATCTCCTTACAATGTCACATGCGAATCCTCCTTAAGCTCTTGATGTTAAACAAATTCTCCTTGTCAGCACCTTAGGAAATGTGTGGGGAACAGTATGAAGAATGTGTACACTGGCGCTAAGGTGTAAAAGGTTTAATGCACAACATATACACTTACATGCTTGACAAGCTGTCTACAGTTTCGTGGCTCGATTTCCAGAGACAAGTCGTACAGGTAGTCTTCCATTTCTTTGTCACTTCTTCCCTCAAACGGATCTAACGTCTCTAGATATTCCTACATTAAAACAAAAACTCTGTTACAAACTGTAAGGCGACAAAATTAAGGGACAAGCAACAGAAACCTCTGATTCATACACAAAATGTTGTTTAAAAGGTAAAAAAACAAAACAAAACTGAGCAATTCTCGAGTGAGCGTCGAAAGCAATGCGGTCAGCATCAGCTTTCAAATTCTTTAAGGTGGCCAATTTACATATCAATTCAGTCAATAAAACCAAAGTTATCAAGACTGCACATACTCAGTCAATCAGTCAAGAAACGGTCAATGCCAGTGAGTGCGCTTCAGTAACATTTCCCGCCAAAGACAGCGCACGCATTCTGTTAATTCTTACCGTAATGAAGGACTCTTTCTGAAGACAGTAGGGCTGGTTCTGATACTGTTGGATTTCACCGGTGATTTCAGCGACTTTTCTCCTGTTGCAAAAAAATTTAAAGTAACAATAAAAAAGAAGGGAAATAAATTAATCATATGTTTTTTTCACTAGTTAGGAGAACTGCTCAAATCAAAAGGTGGCCTCTGATCTCACCTCTTACTAAAGTTTATGATCCCTTTTGGATAATTGGGTAGAAAATCTGGATTTCCTTCTTCAGTCTTCAGAATATTTGTTAAGTACATACCTATAGTAAACAAAGGAAACAATATTATATTCCTTTACACGCAGAGACGGATCCAGGGGGAGGGAGTTCCAGGGGGTCCGGGGATCCGGATCTTCCCCCCAATCAGACTCGTTAACTCCTTCTGACACCAACATTCGTGCAACAACAGGATCATAAGTTACTACTCAGCATAGAGTATTTACAAGTTACTTAGGAATAGTTCTTTGCCTATTTACAATATTGTGCTAGTTAAAATGTCTGAGTTTCTCGATCAAATTTTGACCACTCCCCTGGTCAAAACTTCTCGGATTCCCCACCCCCCTTCACAGCAATGGGTGATTGGCAAAAATAGAAATGCTCATAACGTACCAAAGAAAGGCACACAGGGGGGGTTGATGGAACGTAATTTTTCAATGTACTTCTTGTAATGATCGCTGCTAAGCTCTTTCGCCTCCTCCAAAATTTGCTTCCGTCTGGGGCTCAGCTCCTGCAGAGAAGAAAAGAAAAAATCGAAACATAAACAAAGCAAAATCTTGCGAATGCATCAATAGTCCTAAGTCCAGATCTTTAAAAGGAGGAAAACACTCTCTAACGAATAAATCGGTATCCGACGGATAAGTGATGAAAAAAGTGCTGCCCTATCCACCGGGTAGAGATTTACGCAGTGGATAGAGTTATCCACCCTTCGAAAAACCGGAACCTGTATATCAAGTTATACACGATTTAGTGCGTTCAATACTAGCAAATGGGAACTGTAGGACTGAGCATCAACTACACGCTGGGACTTCGAATTCAGGCGCAATTTTAACGCAATACATGAGCCTCAAATGCAATAACCATGAATAACTACGGTGGACCCTCATTCTAAAAGCTTGAACGCGAGCCTAGGAGAAACTGTAGTGCACCAAGTGAATGCATAGTCCTAAATTCTCTTGAAAATCACTTTGAAAGGCAAATCTCGCCTTTCTGAACAGCTGTTTTTATGACGTCCATTGGACACCTAAACACACTTTTGGCAGGAACTTATTCGAAGAATAATGAAGAAAAGCGTAAAAGGAAAGTTCATGTGAGTTAATATCTCAGCTAAAGGAAACTTTGTAGGGAGGGGACAGGAAGAAGAGAGGCCCTGGAGATGAGGATGGACTTGATACACGAGACCCAGTTTTCCTGCCTTACGTCCACAAAAATCGAATTCAAACCTCGTATTGCATTGTGAAAACAGGATGATACCGGAGAGAAAGACATCAGTACTGTCACACTACCAATTTTTAACAAAACAGAGTTTGAGTAAAGTAAAATGAGTGACAAACTTACTGCAAACGTGTGATTAAGTCTGAAGATAGGAGACGAATTAATTGCACTGACTACCTCTAGAATACCATTGAAATTGTTTAATTCTTGAAAAACCTAAAATAAAAATGGAAGAGAGAGTAAAATAAAAATTAAAGAGATATCCTTACAAGCCAAAATCGTATTCTCAAATCATGTATTTCCCACATGCTGGAATCGTGGATACACCCCTATTTTTCTGCACTTGGCACGGTCAACATACGCTCCGACGTTAACCCTTTAACTCCCAGTAGTGATTAACATGTAACTTCTCCCTATAATATCCATATATTATCCACCAAACAGGTAATGAGAATACTCAAACTTATCAAGTTAAGGTTATGGTCTTG